CCCCCCCCCCCCCCCCAACACACACACAGACTCCTGCATTGCATTTATTTTCCACTTTTAATTTCTATGCCTCTTTATTGCCACCTTATATGAAACACACTTTAGTTCTCTGTCTAGGGTGTGTGGGCAAATCCATTAAAGGTCTGCTAGTGACACAACCAACCAACTGTAATAGAGACAAAAAGACAAATAAAAAATTAGAAAAAAAAAAAGAAGAAAGAAAACACCATTCTGAGCTGTTGATTAATCCTGCATCACGTTTCTACTTTCTGTTTGACATTTCACAAATCCAATGAATCCTGTGTAGGCTCCAACTTGTTGACTGAAATAGGTATAAGTTGAACTATCTCTTTTAAATCTATCCATCCATATACCAGAAAATAAGGAATTGGATTCCTCCAACTGGGTGTTTTGGGGTCTTGTCTTTTAAGGACATACCAGATGTTCTGCATTAATTTTGGTACTTAAGCTCAAGTTTAATTTCAGTAGAATTTCCTGTTGTCCGGAGTTAGAATTCATAATGGACAGGACGGATCCTGAACACTATAAAAGGGGGGTTGGATTTTTTTTAATAATAGGTTTAAATAAATATTAAATTATAATCATTAAATACATTGTTATTTATCTAATTTATGAATATTATTCTTTTAATTCATAAAATTATCAACAATATAGAATATTTATCAATTTTTAATTAATCTTTTAATATAATCATATCTTTAGTATTATAAATATATTATTATAATTTTTTTCCAAAGAGCCAAGGGAGAGGAAGGGCCAAAGTCTCTGCTTACCCTCCCTTGGATTCGTCCCTGATAATGGGTGTAAAGTACATTGGTGTCAAAACTTGAAAGCCTTCCCGATGTTACAGCACAGGAATCAATCTTATTTATGCTATTCTCTAATGTCTATTCATCTCAACTTTTTATCCATTTCATTTTCGTAGTTTGGATTTATTTAACATAATGAAAAGTAGAAGTCTGAATCTGAAGGTAAATTATGAGCAGGAAGACGACATTGAAAGGTGCAAAGCTTGTGAGTTGGTTTTCCATAAGCGTTGCTTTCGAAAAGTAGCAAATTGTCCTTGTGGGGCTCAACTAAAATTGAATGAGACAAGGAGCTTAACTAACAGAGGTGGTGAAACTAGAGGAGGTTTGGACTTGTTAGGCAGGGGAGGGTTGTCACCTAGGTTCCTCTCTGGATTATTTGCCAAAGAAAAGCCGAACAAGACTAGGGAGCAGCACAAAGACGAAAATATTATTTTGATGGGTTCCTTACCCACCACTTCTTTATGATCGCTCAGTGTTTTCTCTATATCTTCCGTTCATCACTTATACATTTTATTACATCCTATTCCTAGGAATAGGATGTTCCTTCAATAATCACAATTCTCTATGTACTCTTTTTTTTGGGTTTCTCATTCTTTGTAACAAAAGTTCATGTATAGTGTTCAGTCTCGTCATTATTTTCTTTTATCTACGCTGACTATGTTCCATTCATAAATTGTATTTTTTTTTCTTCTGTAAGTGTTTATAAATAAATTTTTATTCAAATAGGGTTTATGTAACATTGGTTTAAGAGAAGAGAGCAATGCATAAGTAAAAAAGAGATAGGATCAGAGCTCACAATTCATGACCTGAATCAGTTGCGCAAGTCTCAACCTCACCACCTTTCCTATAGAGCACTTATGTGTGTCTATTGTTACTCTTTTCACTATTTTACTTTTCTTATTGGTACAGAATCATATATAACGGCTATTTTTTTAGGTGATTTTTTTGAGAGAATATTGTAATGACGTCATTGTTCATGTAGAGAAATTTTTTCTCTACTTTTTATCAAGGTTAATACATGTGATCATGGTTATCGGTCTCGAGTGATAATTCTTAATAATTACTGAGTTTATGAGATTAGTCAGTTTCACTTATACAACTCAAAAGTAAACTCATTTTTCAATTTCGAGTAATTTTGAGGAATCTTGCCCCTTTTCTTGCTAGAAGCAAAGATTGGTCTTTTTAAATTTTTTATTTGTTATTTTAAGAACTTATGTCTTGTGTAAAATTTTGTAAGATTTACTATTAAATATTGTTACTTTAATATTATAATTTGTCATTTTATTTTAATATGGAGTTGAAATGTTAAACTATTATGTAATTTATAAGTATTATAACATATTTTTTATATTAAGTAAATTCTTACGAGTTTACGATATAAGTTTACAATACGAGTTTATGAGATCTCAATAAAATTACGTAAATTCTCGAGATTGACAATTTTGCATGTGACAAGTAAAATGTTATTTGATGTAAATAGTCATGGATTATATATTTGACAAATTCAACTATTAAAATTTATCCTAGTTCATTTTATAAATTAACTTATTTAATACACTAATTAGTTCATTTTATGGGTTAATGTTGTAAAATTTTCTAATTCTAGGAATCTTAAATTCGAAGAATACAGAAATAGGAAGCTCACGGATAAGAAGAGTTTCGAGCATAAACCATCACTTAGCTACTTATATGATGTGAATCCAGCCGGGTAAAATTGAAGACTAACAAGCCCAAAATCATATGATAAAGAAGAAGGATTAATGGGCTGAAATTTAAGTAGTTTGAGCTTGAATAATTAAATAAGTTCATTATCTTATTTTTTAATGTAATTTTTGTTTTATTAATTTTATTAAATAAGTCAGATGAATTTTCAAGTTATCTAGACCAGCATTTAGTGTTTTAGGCTTAGTGGAATTTAATGAGTTAGTGGGCTGATGAGGAGTCAATTCTAGTGGATATTAAGTGTTAGTGGGAAATTAGTGCGAATTTATGTCATCTTGCCCACTAAGCTTATAAATAGGAACCATTTGTAAAAGTTTGAGAGAGAAAATGAATTATTCAGAATTTGAATATTTTTCCAATTGAGAGAATTTTCTCTCTCTAGGTTCTTAGGAACTAATTTTGATTCTTATCCTTGAATTTCCTAATTCAAAGTGACAAATCTTCCTTAACTTATCAATTTTTAGGGATTGTGGCGTTGTTCTTCAATTTCTTACCTTAATTTACATTTTTTTTTTCTTTTAATTTCTTAATTATGAGCTTTACAACCTAGATAGATCCGTAAAATGAATCCATCCATCTAGGTTCACATTATTATAGTTATCCACTCTTAATAACCCTCCACAAAAGGGAGGTTCTAACTAACTAACAAACAGGCAGTTACTCATTTCTAACAATTAACACATGTTCTTCACCTACAAATTTATTTCATAACAATTAACTTCTCATTTTAACAAATATTTAAGTTAAGATAAATTTATTTCAAAGTAAAAGAAAACCAACATAAATATTTTAAAAAATTAATATTTTAACAAGAATTAAGATAATCACATTTTCTACAATATTAAGTTAAAAACATCAACTAACAAATAATAACTATTAATTAACAAACACTTAATCTTTCCTAATCTTTTGAGAATATCAAAAGTCTGTTATATTTTTGTTGCATATTCAAACAATAAATACGTAGGATTCCTCCATAAATTACATCAAAGCAAACCAATCCAATACAATTTTCAAACAATTGTAAATAGAAGTTTTTCCATAAAGAAATAGTATTATTTTATATTCAAACAAAATCTTTAACTTATAGTCGCTTAAAATTAAGTTTTTCAGGCCATATATCATAAATATTATGTAGCTGAAAATTAATCTCTTCCCAAAATAAAAAATATCAAACTGAGTTTTATCATTTTAAATTAAAAAAAATGTTGGAGATTGTGTACGACCACCAAAGCATCTCGGTCAAAACCGGTGTTAAAATACTGGTTGAACCGGTTCTATTTAAAAAGTTTTTTTTTAAAATTTTTAAAATTTAACTTAAAATATTTTAATAAAATTAAATATGCATAATTTAAAAATTATAAATTAGAATAAAATATTTTTATCAATTATATTTAATAAAATTTTATAATTTATATTATATTAATTTGATATATATATTTTTTATTTTAGATATAAACTTATCATTATTAATGAACATTGTTATATTTTACTAAAATTTAAACTTATATATTAAAATTATATCATTTAGAATTTTACCTATATATTGAATGCTAAGAACATATAAATAAATTTTAATTTTTAGTGTTATAAATTATTATATTATATTTATTTAATATAATTTTGTATTAATAATAATAATAATTATTATTATTATTATTATTATTAATATCAATTTGAATACAATTTAACTATAGTTGAACTATTGAACTTTAAGATAATGTCATGACTGATTTAATGACTGATCCAATTTTAAAATATTACAAAAGATAATATAAATTTATACTCGAAAAATTATATAGCATCATAAGTAATTTATAAAATTTTACATATAGTGTTAAATTATTATATAAAATAAATAAATAAGTTAGCAAGAATTTCTCTTGTTATTTTTTGTTAAAAAAATAATTTTAACTCTAGAATGAGCCTTTTTCATATTTTACATCGAGTATGATACTTCTTTTAATGTGGTAAATGGGGGGCCAAACCTCTTTCGGCCTTGATCTTACCCTTTTTATTTGAGGTTGTGTGAGTTGTGGGCTTTAAACCTCTCCATTAAATGAAAAAAAAAATGAAACTTTTATGGGAGGTGGGATAAGTTGGTTGCGGATCATTGACCAAATTGACAACTTGAACATGAATATGAATATTAGACATTATAAATAAGTGTAAATGAATGATGTAGCTATTAGTTGAATGAAATTGTGATTAGTAAATCAATAGATAGTCTTGGTCTTATTAAAAATATTTGTGTAAGTGAATACCTCACTTTTTAATTAACAAGGATAAAAAAGTTTGTAGTTGGAATGATAGTAAAAATATTGGTGGCAGTTATTTGGAGTATTTTATGTGCAAGAAAGGGATGAAATTATTTCAATTCTTTTTTGGTTCGTCTCTGGAGTATCCACCGTCGATAGCAGTGACTAATCTCCTCGTTACGATGGAGACACCTCAAAGGGTGGGATAGCTGGCCCCAAGATTTAACGCGGCTGCATACACAAGGTAGGATTTGAACCCCCTGATCTTGCTTAAACGTGGATCAACTAATAACCCCATAACTCCCATAAAAAAACTCATAACTATTTCAATTCTTCATTAAAAGTGTTTGTTTTAAATCGATATAATTTTTAAAGAAGAAATATAAATGAACCATTGTGTTTTTAAATGAAAGGGTAAATCCCTTCTCAATTTTCTCTATAAATATGTTTTAACTCATAAGGTAGTTACTTTTTTCTAACATACACATATATTTACTCATCAAGTTTGAGATAAAAAAAGAGATTATATCATATAATTAAAGATATTTTAAGAGCATTCAAAGGCATTTTAATAGATTGCAAAATTATTTTAGAAGACTCGAGAACTGCTTATAAAAATAAAATAAAATCTCAAAGAGCTTGAAGAACAATGGCTTTAAGAACTAAGTTACCAATTTACCAGGAACCTTGTCGCATTATTTTTGGTGTTCCAATTCATGCAACTATAATTCTATTTATTATTCACGATGAGAGAATTATTTAATCACGACTTATGGAAATTTTTAACATTATGTACCCATCTTGCTTAACATTTTTACATGACTCAAGTTGTTATGTTATTTTCAATACTTTTATTTTAATGAAAAGAAAAGTTTCTAAAAGGTGAAAAGTGGTCCCGCTTGAGAGTGACAGAGAGTCCTTATCAATACTCTTATTAACTTATCAAAATCATAATGCGCCCAAGAGTAAGACAGATAATTATTGATATTTAAGAATTCACACTAATTTATAATCCGAGTGCTTAATCAGATTAATTTTGAAGAATTCGTCGTTAATTACATTGCAAGCTCTTTGACAATTGACAAGTATTAACAGAATGTAAGAGCTAAATTTTACATGCTAATGGGGAAAAAAATACATATATTCCTATTTATTTGTTGAGTATTTGAATTCTTATTGCTAAATAGTATTATTTAACATTTTTTTTTCTCTTCCTTCTTTCTATGACAATGAGAAGATCAAAGGTAGTTTAGAACTAAGCTGAATTCATCTAACACATTGATACGAGTCTGGATACCGTGTTGACAAGACATAATGTTTCAGCTTCATTAACAAAGCGAAAATTCCATAGCATGGAATCTGCAATAATGCCACCGCAAAGTACCTACACATCAATTTCAAAGCATTGAAAAAAAGAAGAAGAAGAAATCAGCAAATCAATTCTAATAATTTATAAGAATCAGGTATCTTAAAAGCTAGTATAGAACAAGAACTAGAGCAATTTCGGAGCTTCTTAAAAGTGTTTTTAATAAAGAACAATAAAAAATAATTAAAATAAATTTTTCTATAAGCTAAAATTAAGACTTATTTAAAATTATGCATAAATTACAATAAGATTTTGAAAAAGTTAATAAGAAATTTTTTTTAAAATTAATTTATGTTTAAGTTAATTTTAATTTATAAAAAAAACTTATTTTTTTATTAATATATTTTTCTCTTTTAAAAATGTTTATAGATAAACTTTAAAAAATTAAGCAGTTTCTTAGAATTTAATGGAAAAGAGATAAATTTGGTACCATAATGGAGCATACGAGGATGACAAGTCAAGAAATGGATACGGCCACCTGTTTTTTCCAGAGAAGAAACTTACATTAGACAATGATGTCTTCATAGTAGTTAAAGCCAAACTAAAAATAGTGTCAGTCAAAGACTTTATACCAGAGATTAATGCAAGCATGAACAATCCACTGGAAAATCACATATGTGACTGTCCATAGGCAAAAGTATCCTATTCTGAACCAAGGGAATCTCTGAAGAGGAATGAAAAAATAAAGGGTAAGAATTTTCTGATGCATAAGAATTGGAAGTGGACAAATAAATGGAATCAAATGCAGAAACTCACCAGACAATTTAAAGCTGTATCACCTATAAGGAAAACTGCATTGATTGAGTGCATAATGACTATCAACTGCCACGGGAGAATATACATATGGTTAGGTGCTATGTTGCTTAATTATGTGATAGAAAGTTACAGGAGAAAATTTATTGGTGGTCAATGGGGTCATAAATTATACTTACAAAATTTAGATTGTAATCTTTGATGGTTAGAAATGGAACAATTATGAACCAAAATACACAATCAGTGAGCATGACAGCACCGGCATTAATCTGTTCACATGTGAAGAAACAAAGATCAATTATGTGGTAAATAGAAAGTAGAGACATGCAACAAAGTACTCTATCTGTTTCTAAACTTTGGTTCTTTTAGCTTTGTTTCAAAACTTCGATTCTTCTAAGATTCCAATATATCTCCATGTAATCTTTTTCAATTATACCTTCAAATGTAATTCAATAATTAATACTAGTTTAAGTGGAGCATTAATGTAATTTTTTATTAGAGAAGTAATCAGCGAGAGTAATTTAGTTTAAATGTTTCTTATTCTGTGTGTAAAAAACTAAAAAAAAAACAAAGTTTTGAATCGGAAGGAGTATAAAAGTGCAATGTATTATGAACTGAACTCATCACAATGATCTATGAAAATTGAGAAGTGTACCTGGAATATTATTTGAAAAATGTAACCCCAAATGCCTGCATGTTGGCGAACAAGAACTTCTTCTGGGGCTCCCTGGCTTTTCTCATGGTATGAAGGACTAGAGCTTTGTGGGAGGGCAGAAGCATTATTCATTCCTTGCTCTGCATCTCCATCCACATTATCAACCTTATCCCCAGTTGCTTTCTTGTGATGTTGGTAACATCCATAAATGGAGAGCAAAGATCCCAGCTGCAACATCAAGCACACAAGGACAAGTTTATATAATATGTTACATACTAAATGATAGACAAGAGTAACATAACCACAGGAAAAAAAAAAAAAAAAAAAAAAGATATGGGGTATTTATACTTACCCCAAAATAAATGGTGATTGAAGTGAAAGTCCACCTGTTTCACAAACCATTGAAAATAATTATGTTAACTCACAATCAAATGCCAAAAAGAAAGCTAAGAACATAGCTAACTAACGCAGTTTGAGTTGAAACATGCCTAATCTAATCTGATGGCAGTGCCAAAGGGTTTGACATTTGTGTTTCTTACTTAAGGATTGAAGTTTGATCCTTGATTTGGATATGGGATTCTGACCAGAGGTACTACTTTATGACCGACTTGATGAGAATAAGTTATACTTTCTTGTGAAACCAAAAAAAATAAAAATCTGACGGTAGTTGCTTATATTGGCTTCATAAATCAGGTAAGATAAATACTTTCTTAGAAGGAGTGTTTATTCCGACTCCTAACTACTTAAACTCACAAGTGATTGGCGAACTCTGATTAAAACATAATAGCCTTCAAATTTTGTGTTTATGTTCCATCGAACAGGAACCAACATAGAAAATATGAGAAGGATTTTCTCAACAAGGGAAGAAAACTTACTGAGTGTAATAGTGGAAAATGCTTCCTCCATCAACAGCTGCATTGATTATGAGAAGCACCAAAAGCACAATAAATGCCACAACCCTGAAAGCCATGAGCCATGCAGGGTGAACTCCTTTCAGGCAAGGCCTCCAAGTTTCATCCTCATACAAAGTTGCTGAAGTTTCTTCTTGTGTGTCCCTGCTTCCACTTCTTGCTGGTTTCCTCAAACTTTCATACTTCCATATAAGCAATGATGACAAGATGAGTGAAACCAGAATCCATATGGCACAAAGCAAAACTCTCCAATTGAGCCAGTAACTCTGTTGGTTTGTCTTAGCAGTCATAATTGGCTGCCATGAGTCCTTGTGAGGGTCTGTTAGGAAACTCATCATGGACTTACTTTACCTTCTTCTGAGACTTCTCAATGTTAAGTTGGGGTGGTGTTGTTTCCACTTCCTAGATTATTACAAAATGTAAAAGAGAAATGTTGAAAAAAAAACACTGTTGAAGAATGAATGAACAAATTTAACCCAAACAAATGAAGCTATTTCTTCTATTGATCTCTCAGAAACAAAAACACCCAGAAAGGAAAGGTGGAAACTTTGAAAAGGGTCTAATGGAATCAGAGCCCTGTGAGGGCTCTGAACTAAAACTCATGAAAATTCAAAAAATGAACCACAAGAATTGAAGAGAGCCATTTCATGCGATCAAAACGAACAAAACAAGACTTCGATGGGAAAACACTCATGGGTTTCACATGCATCTAAAAAATATGAACAGGTGCATAAACTTTGGACCATCAAGAACCAAAAAGTTGGAATTCTTGACCCATTTTGACCACATTAATCGCTTGGATTACGTAGAGATTCCAAACTTAAGTGAATTTTTTGGCAAAAGAAAGATACACCGACGGTTTTAATAGTGCATCAATCAACTTATAAAGGGGAAAAAATAAAAGGAGCAAGACTCCTTAACAAGGAAAAAAGGTTGAAACTTGCAAGGGAAAGCAAGACAATGTGTATGTGTACGAGAAGAGAAGATGCTTTGCTTCTTTGCTTTTGTATGTAGGAAAAAAGGTTACAGATAGGGAAA